ATATTATTGTCCATGAGTAGAACTTAGAAACTAAGAGCTACTTACTTGCTAAGGAGCTTTACCAGAAAGTTTTCTCAAACACTACAACCTCCTTGAGAATAAGATATCAGCAAGGAGTAGTCAGGGACTGTATTTCCACTTTTATTTGTTGGGCTTAATTAGAATAAATCTGTTAATGCTGTATCACACAGTTTAAGGAAAATACTTAAGGGCAAGGTATTCTATCTTGCTTCTACTGTAGGCTTTGGCTGCAATCCTAAACACTTAGGAGGGAGTCCAAAGGAATTCGGAGACTTACTTTCAAATAAACATGCATAACTTGGATGTTAAAGCTGGCCTTTGTTTAGCTTGTCATCACCCTTTCCTATATAAATTGGAAAGACAGTTGGAAATAGCACTGCCTTCCCCAAGCTTGAGCATCATATTGCTTGCTCTTATGAGTACTGGATAGTACAATTTACTATTAGATGTGCCATCAATCCTCTGTAAATTAGTATGCTTAAACATGGGGGTGCCTTTATATTAGGGCTTCTCTTTTATTTGCTTCTGTGAATCACAGGAAATGGCCATAGTTACAAGTACCTGTATACCACTGACAGATGAGGGAAGAAATTGGGACTAGCATCAAGGTCAGGATCTTCAGTCCAAGAGAGAGCACACTATCAATTGGATAAGGATGGTCCATCTGCTCCCACCAGGAATGGGAGAGGTCTGCCTCAGAAGAATCTGAGGAAATTTTCCATTTCCTGTGGGAGTGTTACGGGGGGGGGGGGGAATGCAGAATGCAGCTTTCATTCTCATTTGATCCTCATTTTAATGCAGTTCTCATAAATATGAGATTGCCATGCTTTACTTCATCCCCTGGCTGTTTTTCCATTGGAAACAGAAGATCATCACAAAGGCCTCAAAGGTAGTCTGCCTGGAGGGAAAGGTGCACCTCTCAATACTCCCCCCCCCCAGCCTTACTAGTGCTGACAGGGCTTAATGAATGTGAAAGAGTTACACTCTACTTCCTTGTCCATAAGGGTGTGTCTATGCATGTACAAGAGACAGCTGTGCACTTAGAGCCCCACTGGAGGGGCCTCTATTCTTATGCAAGCCCCCCCCCTCAAGCCTAGAGCCAGCCTTGGAAGAAATCTTTGGATTTTGCAAGAGAAAAATAATGGAGCCACTAGTACAAAATAAGTACTAACAGATAAAGTCTTCAGTGTTTGGGGAATAGTTAAGTCTAGTTATATGAGTGTTTTCATTTATTTGCTTTATAGCCTTCCTTCCTTCCTTGCTGAGACTCGAGCCGAGTTACAAAATAAAAGCAATGTACAATGCAGTAGATGTTTTTCATTTTTGTTACCTGCCATAAGCTTAAGGGTGAGCTAATGTTAAAGCAGGATATAGAACAATACTGTTGTTGTTCAGCTTGTTGACCTAATGCATTGTCAAAGACGTTCAAATTCCTAAGCACAGCAAACCAGAAATGTCACTTCGTGTCCAAGAGGCAGCTGGCTCACATGATCTGACAGGGTATTCTTACTCAAAGAGTGAACAGGGTGACTTATTGGTGACTTGTTTCACATGACTGCTAATGCAGAAGTTTCTCTTCCACAAAAAGCTTAGTGTAGCAATCCTTGACATTAAAAAAAAGAGAATCCAGAGTTTTAAATGCAAACCGGATTTCCGTAGCACAATTAACATTTTTGAGACCACGTGTGTATAACTGGGATATGTTCACATGAGGAAGGGGTTTCTCATAAACACTGGCATACAGAAGAACATTTGGTTGCAGATTTTATACTGAATTGTTAAGTTATCCATGTAGAGAAGGTTAAATATTTTGGACAGGTTCAGTGCAGGGCCTTCACATTTTGGGGTGCCCTGTGCAAGATGCTGTCCAGTGTCCTTCCCCACACTGTGCTGCCCCCTTGTGCACATGGAGGAGGGAGCAGAGCATGTATTTCCCACTTGCCAGCAGTGATGGGGCTTAAAGGAGCTTGATAGGGTTGCCAAGTCTACTTACCTTGGCGGCGGGGGAGCCTCGCCGGGCTCCGGGAGCTCTCCGGCAATGCGCGCGCACCGCCAGCACGTCACAGGAAGTGATGCGCTACGTCGCTCACGTTGAGGGCGTGGCCCGGATCGTCGGAGGGAAAACCATCGAGTTTTCCCTCTGACGATCGGGGCCACGCCCCCATCGTGAGCGACATGGTTGCGTCACCTCTGGTGACGCAGCCACACTGCGCTTCGGGGGGGGGGTGGAGTTCCCTCCGGGGCCCGATTCCGTGGCGACGGAAATTGGGCCTCCAAAGTGGGGGTTTACCCGCCCCCCGCCCCCAATTGGCAGCCCTAGAGCTTGAGCGTTGTGCTCTGCTCTTTCCTGCAGCCCCCATGCTTAGATGCAAATGGGAGATTTTTTCCCTCAAAGGCCATTTGACGAAAGTCCTCTGCTGATCCCCTCTTGCCTGGTCAGAGGGCAGCAAGTGGAGGACAGCGAAGTGCAGAGCCGTGCACTGCTGTCTCCCAAGTACAACTTCTGGCTGAAAATGGGAGATTGCTCCCTCGGCTCCTGTGACATCCTCTGGAGCAGTCTCTCATTTATAGCAGGAGTGGACAGGCCAAGGATCTGTAGTGAAATTTTGGTCCATTGCTGGTTATGGAGTTTGACAGATGCCCGGCAGTGCTAAGCCTTGATATCAGCCCTGTTCAATTGGCAGCAGCTTCTAGGTAAGCCACAGCTGTGCTACTGGTGTGATAGTGCTGTGGAGAGGTAAACCCATGAAAGATTTTTAAACTACACTCCCAAGTTTTTGCTGTGGTATAAAAATATGATTGAGCAAACTCTGGAGGACGGCGGAAGACAGGAGGGCCTAGCATGATGTGGTCCATGGGGTCGCGAAGAGTTCGACTCGACTGTGTCAACAAATAAAAATATGGTGTTCAGTCAGTTCCTGAGGTGGTGTCTGAATGCCTCCTTAAACTGGACAGATTGCTGTGATTTCTCTTTTGTGGGCCTCTCTTTACATGGGTACCCAGTTACCTATTTCTTGGGACCTGAGTAACATGCCCTAGAAAAGTGGTTCTTAACTGTTGATCCACTACTTCCCACCAAGAATGCAATATTATGCTTAGACATTTCCCCAAGTCACAAGTAAAAGTTAAGGCACAAAAACATTTCCCAGACAAGGCAACTTTATTTATATTTATGATATATGCATCCAGTATACAGATCTCAGGCATAGATTCAATGGAACCCTTGTCCATATTGACCATCAGCCAACTCCTTTGAATCCTGTCTGCTGTGTGCCCCTTTTTGTAGGGGCAGAGGGGGATGTAGCATCTGGAACTGCCTCTCAGCTCTGCCAACTCCTTGGCAAAGACCCATTTTTAGTTTCCTTCTGTTACAAGCCTCCTTGCAAGAGGGTGCGGCCATGTCTCTTGCTACAGTCAGAAGTTTCTTTCTGAGACTGGGCCTTTTCCAAGGCCGATACATGACCGCATTATCATGGTAAGTTTTATACTGATTCAGAAGTACATAAACTTTGACAGGTGCTTTTGCCTCTAAGAACTACAGCCAGGGTGTTTCTTCCATTTGTCCGAATCATTTTATAAACATGATATTGTGGGAGATGCATGATGGTTTATTAGATTAAAAAGGACCCTGGAGTTACCCTTTGTGTTTTCATAGCTCAGACTAGCTTTAGACTGAATGGGACTAGCAAAGCGGTTTTTGCTGATATTATCAGTATCTAGTCTAGCTGATTTTCGTAATTCTCCTTGGTATCCTACGTAAATGTAAATTGGCAATGAGTTACAGACCATTCAATGTGACGATAAATCACTTCATACAATACTGTGTTTTCTTTCTCCAAAATACTTGTTAAATTTGTTCCTAAGCATTGTATGTGTTCTATAACATTGTGTATAGGACGGTGAATGTCTGGAGGAAGGCTGTTCACAAGGTCATGTGCCCGCTCAGTGTTTATGGCAAGGTAGGGGTGTCTAATAAAAACTGATAGCATATTATGCCCCAGAAGAAAAACCTCCTAACAATTATAACAGCTGTTACAGATTCTTATGTTTGTAGGCTTCAGCTGGTTCTATTATTTACTTCTGTGTATATATAATAATATGCATTAGGTAAGCTGTATCCAGTGGTGATTTTCCACTGGCAAAATACTTCTGCCGGTGGAGGCGGTGTGCAACTTCTTTTTTCTCACTTCCCTATACCTTTACAATGTTCCTGGGGTCCCCTGAACCAGGAGCAGCAGTTCAAGGGGCACAGTGGGCTGCAAGGGGAGGGGGGAGGTTCCACTCCACAAGCAAATCTCTATTTGTCTGGATACGGCTCATCTACATGTCTCTGTGTTAACTGCTTTGTGTTTTGAGGGCTGTTTTGTAGCAGGAACTCCTTTGCATGTTAGGCCACACACCCCTAATGTAGCCAATCCTAATGAGTCTCTGCTGTTGGGTGTGGCCAATTATGCTAATGAGTTCCTGCTGGGTGTGGCCAACTCAGGAGCCAGCCGGAACTCCGTTCCTGTGCGTTCCTGCCCCAAAATAGCCCTGGTTATAACTATTGGTAATAGTTAACTAGGGCCAATAGTCATAACTAGTTATAACTATTGGTAATAGTTCACTAGGGCTGGTTAGCTCTGCCTTGGGAAATTCCAGGATATTTGAGGCAATAATGCCTGGGAAGAGCCAAGTTTGGGGAGGGAGGTAAGGGGGATATGGTTACAGAAAGTTTGCTCTGCAAAGCCTCCATTTCCTCCAAGGGAACTGAGCTATGTAATCTAGAGATAAGTGGTATTTCCAAGAGAACTCTAGGCCTCACCCTGATGTTGGTGAACTTAGATACAGCCATATGTGTGTGCCCCCCCCCCCCGGAAATTGCTGTCACTTTCTCACTACAGAGCTCAGAATAAATTTAACAATGAACCATGCTTCTGTAATGAGAAGTGGTGCATTTCTCCTTCAGAATGAAGTCAAAGTAAATGAATGTTTTCTAGGCCTTTGTCAGAGGATCATGAGGATTCTGATTTGGTGCTTGGAGAAGTTCACTCTGACGAAGAGATGATATCAAGAGATGTGAACAGTTCAGATGAAGACGATGACAGCAATTCAGATTCTGGCAAGGGAGAACTTGATACACAAGAAAATAATCAGGTAGGAATCTATTGTCCATTTGCTGAGTTTCAGAAGCCTTAACCTTTTTCCTGAAGGTCAGGTATTTTTTCTGTTTTGTGAAACTTCAGTTGAATTGGGAATTCCTGGATGTAAATACAGCCTATTACTTGTGTATAGGATGTACGTGGTGGTGAGCAGTGTTGCCAGGTGTCCCTTATTTAAAAGGCCATTCCTTCTTTCAGAACGTTTCTGTTGTATACATACAACATAAAATTCATTTCCTTATTTCTGTGGCTTTCATTTTAAATTCCTTGTTAATGAGAAATCTCAGGTTTTTGAAAGGTCTGTTGGCCAGTGTTTACATACCAATAAATTAAACTGATACAGAATTAACCACTTGGAGTTGTTCTCTTCTATTGAAAGCATGTGCATTCCACAATAGGGAGTTGGATTTTGACCTGCGAAGTGTGAATTAAATTCCTACCTTAGTGATAGAAGGCGTTGGGAAAGTATCTTATCTGATTGTCAGTCTGCAAATGAGAATTTTTAAAAGAGATTGTTTCAAAAAAGAGGGGCCCCCCACTGTGCTACGTTAGCTGCTTCTTTGAGTCTTCTTACCATTTTTTGCTTTTTCTCCTGGCCCAATCTTGCTTGGCTGCTTTCTGATTCTCATCCTGTAAAGGCTTCATAAATCATGTAAATATCCCATAATATTTACTGTGCTTGTTTTAAACATTTATATGCTGCCTTTTTGAAGACCTTTTTAAGGTGGCTTAGAAAATGAAACAAGATAAAAACATTAAAATCAAACAATCCATCACAGAGCATAAAACATCTAGCAGCCACCTCCAAACAAACAACCTCCTAAACAGTCCACAGCTAGAAACAGATTGTTAAAACAATGTGAAAGATCAACCCCCTAGTTAACAGCCTGGATAAAAAGAAATGTTTTGGCCTGGTGCCTAAACGAGTAGGATAGGTACCAGGAGAGCGGCAAGGAGAAGGGCATTCCACAGGTGTGGTGCACCACTGAGAAACCACTGTCACTAGACACCACTCACATCGGCTCTGAGTATAGTGGCCCTTTCCTTGACAGCTGCCTGTTTGCACTTGTAATTAATTCACTCTGTTCAAGGTCATCTTCCACTCATGGAAAGAGTCCTTCCTTGAATCGCAGATTCCTCTTGTACCTACCCGCTATTTTCTATTATCAAAGGATTGTTTTTCTTTCTACTAGCTGTTATAAACATCACTAGAAAGCTAAAGTGGACAAGTTATGTCCTTGCTATAAAGCCCATTGTGTTTCACTTCTGTTCATCTACATACATTCATGGGAAAGGCCTTTCTTTCCCCTTTGCTTTAGCTAGCCCTGCTGTTTGGGGGGTGGGTGGATCAAATTTAATAACAATCTGCTTCTTCCTCAACATTTGCAAAAAGTATCTGCAGCTGTGGAGGAAATCAAAACCATGTATAGATGGTTAACTATTTAGTTTATTTCGGGTCTTTCCCCCCCCCCTGCTTGGTCTAACAAACATCGTAGACTTGGCAATTCTCTGACACTACAGTTTATATAGCAAGTATTACTTCCCTTTGCTTAGAAGGAAGGATAAAAGATTTCCTTGTGCCCATTGAAAAGCAAAAAAGAAATGCAAGAAAATAATTTGAAGTTTTATATCCCAACATGTCCAATCTGACAAATCTGCCTTTGGTAGAGTCAGCGGTGTTTGTCTCTGCTTCCAATCAGCTTTTAGAAACCAAAGAAGGAATGTCTGTGTTCTCCTTATTGAGCCATAATTGGAGAACGAACATATAACATCCTAACTCCATTTCTTTCAACAGATGACAGATGCCATTTTTAAGGCAAGCGCCGCTGCTTTCCCAAGTAGGTAGAAATGAAGGCAACTGGCAATTAACTCAACATTAGTATTTAAATGGAACTCTACCTAATTATAGTCTAAGCATGAGTCAACTTGCATTTTGAACTCTTGAATACAAATGGATGTTAGAACTGTATGAAATATTATTGTAACAGAGTTTATGGATAAGACTCAGAGGTATTTAAAAATACTCTTGTCTGTGTTTTCATTCTATGAAGTTTAATTTTGTTTGCAGGCTAAAGCAGCTGGGAAAAAAACAAAGGTGCATCATATTGCTAAAGAAATCATGAGCTCAGAAAAAGTGTAAGTATCTGCTCTGAATTCAATCATCTGTATATGTATTTTTAAGTTGTAGTTGAAGTAATGTGTGTTTTTATTTTTATTTGTAACAGATTTGTAGACGTGCTGAAGCTCTTGCATATTGTAAGTATTATTATGTGTTTGGCTGAGAAATTATTTGTAAACAGCTTCTTACGGAAATTGTATTAAAAAACTTCCTCTTGTAAAAGCAGCTGAATAACCTAATGAAGCAACTATAAAATGCTCTGAAGAGCTGGAACTCTATAATATACAGAGAGAGGAATGTTTGAAGTCTCTGAATTTTCCTGCTGAAATGAAAGGGAAATCTTACTTTGCTTGGTGGAAACTTCAGGCTAAATGTATTGGGCTTTCTTAACTGAAAAATTATTTTGGAACCAAATATTGTCTGGGCCTAGATCAATATTAATAGAGAGAGAAACACTGGAAATAAGCACAGAGCTGGGAGTCAAGAACTCGTGTACATTCCAAACGAAGTCAGAATGCGGTAGAGCAGGAGGGTGCCCTTTTGCGATTTGTTTTTTGCCTAATTCTTCATTGTGTACACAGGTGAACCTTCACAAACTAAGGAAAAGGAAAGCTGGTATAACACTGTCACCATTAATGTTTTGTTGTGCTAGGAAAGAAAATAACATTCCTTGTCAACTGCATATGACTGAAATGTTGCTCGGTTACATACATTGAAGTAACAGAGGTGGGCAAGGACACTGTCCCCTTTTAGGAACTGCTTTTGTAAGGCACTCAAAGAAATTCCTGTTACTGTACATGAATGAGTGTTGTTACAGTTTCATGCTGTGATGACATTTTCACTCTTGTTACCTGCATTGCCTTTGCTTAGAAAGCGTGGGCTTAGATCTGTGTACTTTGAAGAGCATCCAAGTAAGGGGAAAATGATACTCAAATTATTTGGGTGTGTTCCTATTTAGCTAGGCTTTAAAGGAACATGGTTTTCCACTGGTTTTGTTTTCAAGTGCTGCAAAAAGTATATGAAGTTTGACTTGTTGGACAGCCAGGTTTGAATCTGCCTGTTCAGGTTTTGCTGTTTCTTTGGCAACCAAAGTTCAAAGGCTGGGGGCTGTCTTGTTTATTTATTTATTTATTTAGAGATTTCGAGATTTATATCCCGCCCTTCCAAGCGGCTCAGGGTGGCTAACAAGCGGCTAATGCCGGATTAAATAGATAAAATACAATAAAACAATATTACATATCCACAATAAAATTCATAACAGTATTTAAGGTGCTCTATTATCCTATATATAAATCCCCAAGATGGACAGTAATCCCAAATTGACAGCCAGCTTTATTAAATAGCGAGGGCTCCAGCAGTGGATGGATGAGGGTGAGGGCTTGTTGGATGGCTTCTCAGTTTCATTGCCTATATTACTAAAGTTTGACCTTATTCAAATGTAGATCAACACAAAGACTCCAAAGTCCACATTCTCATATTAAATTCTATGGCAGCTTTAGGAATTGTGGTGTGGGGTGTGTACATGTGTGTGCATGGCTTCTTGCATAGCCCCAGTTTTACTGGTGTTTGGGTAATGTGAATATTGGAAGGCATTAAGCAGACAACAAAGACTACTGTTGGAAGGCATTAAGCAGATTATAAACTACAAAGGGGAGAACCTTGCATTTTATTCGATAGGCTATGCCCACTACATCTGTTTCCAGCCTTATAGGCCTTTCATTTGGTTCCATGTACTTTCAACAGTCTTTTTCCGCTCTCTTCTTCGTCTTCCTTTCAAAGTGCTTGTTGCCTATCTTACCCACCTGCCCTACTGGTAGAAATTCTTGTCATGCAGTACTTCATGTGTACACGTATAGACCTGAATGGGTGGAACAGGTTTGTTAGACTTGCAAAGTGAGCCATAAACCTGTTCCTTCAGAACTTTGTTCTAGACTGAAAGGGCTTTTCTGGGGTCAATGGGCTCCACTGTAATCTGGATACTGATTATAATGGTTGATTCCTCTAAAATTATAAGGCTGCTTCTGATTGTGGGCATTAGGAAGGACTTTTAGATGATGGAGAAAGATGTGTCTGTCTGAGCGGATCATAGGATGTCTGGTATATGCACAAATTTCCTTTGATAAAAGTACCATGTAGAGAAGAAAGGCTGTATCTGACTCCAAAATAGTTCTAACGCGTCTTAGAAGAGACAGAGAATTATTTAACTAGGCATTACCTGAAATTGTATCTTGGAAGTCAGTAATTCAAGCATGAGGCACCTGTACACCATTAAAATTTATTAGAGTAATTGAGCCTTTCCTGGGACTCACCTGAAAGCCATATGTGTATATTAGTATTTGATGTGATGAAGCTATGGATACTAGAGCTCAACAGGTGTGCTTTTATCACTCAAAGCAAGGAAATAATTAACTTCTGAAGTAATTGCCAGTGAAAGGTATTTTTTGTTAAGTACAGTCATTAAAAGTGCTTCTTAATGCCAATACAAGGTGCATCCAGAATTTCCTCTTACCTAGCTAAGCACCTTCATTCATATATATATATGTGTGTGTGTGTGCGTGTGCGCTTGTTCCTGTGTGCATTTGTTGATTTGGATTCCTGACAGGCCTGGAGGAAAAATCTCCTGTCCCTTTAATAGAGGCTTAATGTATGGAAATGGGCAGCTAAAGCTTTTCATAGTATGGAGATAAATAACACCACCTGGTAGACGGCATCATGTATAATCTCCATTAAAGGAACAGGACACTTTTCTCTAGGCCTGTTAGCAATGCTAGGGCTGATGGAGAACAGAAGCAGAAAACTCCACTATGTCTCTGGATCAAGAGCTTAGATGGAGAGCAGCCAAGTCTTCCTTCGCTAGCCTTGAGTCAAGGCGGGAAAGGCGCTCTATAAATGAAGTAAATAAATCAAACAACTGAAACCAAAAAGGTCTTAACACTGGAAGTGTGAAATGAAATGGAGGTCCCTTTCACATTACTGTTCTAAACCAGATGTTATCCGTTGTTGGCCCGCTTCTGAGTAAAGCGATACAGGGACAGGGGTTTCATACAGCAAACTTCATCCCGTTAATAAGTCATCCCTGAAGTGCTATGGCCATTTCAAACTGTGTGGCCTTTTCTTCCTTATTCTCCCCCCACCCCCCTGATTGTTCTAAGTTGAGTGCTGTAGTGCTAAACCAATATAGGCCCCGGTCACATGGAGCATTTGCCCCGCTGAAGACACGGGAGTCCCGCGGAGTATCCGGGCGCGATCACACGGGAACATCTGGGAGGCGTAGCACTCCCGTGGCGAACCCGTGACAAGCCGCCGAAGCCACGCAGTAAAAAACTAGCACACTGCATTTACTAGCAAACGCTTTGCCATGGGCCGCCTATAAAAGCCTCCTGGTGTGATCGCGTCGGCACGCGGCTTCCTCCCCCATCATCCTCTTTGCTGAGGGGATGCTGCCGTCGCGTCTGATCGCATAATAGTGCATCAGAATGTGACGGTGCAAATAGCCACGCTCCCCCCCCCCCCCGCGCCCCCCCCCCCCGTGTTTTCTGGCACGTCTGGCCGGGGCCGTAGTCTTTCAATGGAGTCAAGGCATCTCAGTGGTGCTGCTGTAACACTGAAGTGCTATATTGGTTTAGCACTATGGTGCTTAACTTAGAACGTTCTGGGAGGGGAAGGGCGAGGAAGATTGCACAGCAAAAAAGGTGGGATTGTAGGAAGAAGAAGAGGGAAGAGATGAAGAAGAGATTGGATTTATACCCCGCCCTTCACTAACCAAAGGTGTCTCAGAGCGGCTTACAAACTCCTTTCCCTTCCCCTCCCTACAACAGACACCCTGTGAGGTAGGTGGGGCTGAGAGAGCTCTGACAGAAACTGCTCTTTTTCAAGAACAGCTCTTATCAGAACTACGGCTTGCCCAAGGTCATCCAGCCAGGTGCAAGTGGAGGAGTGGGGAATCAAACCCGGTTCTCCCAGATTAGAGTCCACACACTTAACCACTACACCAAACTGGCCATACCAAACTGGAAGCATTATGGACATTTTAGACAGCACACCACAGTGAGAAGTGCAACAAAGAGATGAAAATGGAAGAAAGCCGTTTCCCTCAAAAAACGGCTCAATCCCACTTTGCCAATGGGACGCAAGCAGCTTTGTATCAACGGGTAAATAAAATCTATTAGCAGCTGGTTGCTGAAATGGTTGTGTCTACTACTAAAACTGATCACAAAGGCTGCCTGAAAGAGGCTAGAGTCTTCTGATGTGTGCATTTGTGTGCCTGTGTTCTGTGCCTTTAAACTGACACGCTCAACAAGTGTGACTTTTTCTAGCATGGACCTGCAGCAGTACAAGACAGCTGCATTATTAAACTGCTGCTTGAGACATATAAAGGCACTAAACCTCCGTCAGGGAAGAACGATATGTAATAATAAAAACACAATATAATCTTTTCCAGGACTCTTTGTCTTTGAGTCTTTAGGACATTTTATCAATGGGACAGTCCGCTTATTGTTATAAACCTCTGTGATTACATGTTGTCCGCCCTCAATTGCAGCGTATAACGCAAATAAATTCTCTGTCCACCTACTTGTGTTATAAATTGATTTTACCCTGTTTTGAGCGAAAGCCCGTGCTGTATTAGATTTGTACTTGTTCAGGCTGAACTTCTGTTGTTTCACATGGCATGCAGCAACTGCAGGTTTTTGTTTTCATTTGGGGGAGGGAGGTGTGTCTGCCAAGGAAGAGAAGAAAGAATTGTTGTAAGGCTTCAGCCAAAGAACTCACCCTTTTAGTCTTTAACTGCTTATGTACTTATGAATAAGTATATTCAGAACTGGGGCATAAATGCTAATCTGGCTTGTGCAAGTTAAGAGTGCACAAATTCCCACCAAATTTCCCCCCAGTATTTCTAAGTGTTCTTATGGTCAGCATGTTGCATTTTGCCGAAGTGCCTCTGCAGAGCTACTGTGTTCCATCTGAGTTCTATTAATCATAATCACTCCTTGAATTTAGTTTTGGGTATGTGAAGCCAGCATTTTAAGGTCACAAATCACCAGGATGTAAAGACGGTAGCTGAGCTTTGTGTCACCAGTTGGTTCACAAAATATAAAACAGCATTTCCATCTGAATGAGGCCATCTGTGTTCGCTGAAATCCAGCACTGCAAGTCTCCAGTGTCAAAAGCCCCCTCGTTTCTCTGCTTCAAGTCAGCCAATCTTGAAAGTAGGAAAATGTGGACCAGTATGAGCTTTCTCGGTCTCTGTGTAATGGGGGTGGGGGTGGTTTTAGCATAGGAAGCCATATTGCATAGACAAAACTGCTGTGTCTCATATCTGTGCAGCTGATGCAGTTTTTCATCATCCTTGAATGACACAAAGCCAGTTTATTCACCTAGTGACTGAATGTAAGTAGCTAGTGGTCTTGTTGCAGCAAAGGCAAAAGAAGCACCACCTGCTCTGACCTTTGGCCTGGGGAAGGTGGGGTACAGAGGTGTACTTTCTCTTTTCTGCCCCAGGACTGTCTACAGATGTAGATAAGAGGGGAAGAACAGTGTTAGTGCCTCTGTGCCTGCTGATCACTGGATTTTGATTTGAACATTTATATATTTATTTACTTTATAGACTGCCTTTCTCGCTGAGACTCAAGGGGGATTCCAGGATAAATTAGTGCATTCAGACTGCATAAGACAGCCAATTAATAATGCAATAGGATTACAGAATTAGAGACCAATGTGACAAACAAAACTATTTAATGCGAGGTATGCTATAAACAATACACTAACTGGATTACAAGGTATTAGACAATGCAGTAAAGGACAGGTGATACCTCCAATAATCATTGCTGTGGACTACAGTCCTGTTCTATTGTAAAAGTGCCCTCCTGGGCTGTTCCGTTTTACTGCAATTCTAAACACCTTTTTCAGATTCCTTTTTGAACACAATTGCTTTGTATATTCTGTGGAGGAAAGCATGAGGGCCTTCCTGATCTCCCTAGTCAGGCTTGGTACACACATTACATGGGCATATATTATCAGGGGCCTTGTGATCTAGTCAGAGGAGTATACATTTGTTTGTCAATATGTGTGTTGTTATAGGTATGTGTTGCAGGCAGCCAAGACTGGATGAGTTGTCTGTCACATGTGCAGTTTTTTGCATATGCACATTTCCTCCTATGTTGTATGTGTTGGGGGGGGCGTGGCTTGAAGTATCTGAAACAGATTATCTATGTGAATGCTAAACCATCTACTCAGAATAGCAGCTTCCAGGTAACTTTTAAAGAATTTAATTATATTTAGCTCCCAGTCCTTCCTCCAGTGTGCTACTTCAGCTATTTTTGTACCAAACATGGGTGATTAAACACTATAGTATGGTGAATTCAGATGAAGATGGAGATTTCTGTGGGTTTTGTCCTTCTCATCACTCCAATACAGACATCAGCACTGATTCAAAGTAGGGATAGAACTCTATGTTCACTCAATAAAACAGAAAAATAAATCCTAGCTTACCAACCAATCTTTCCCAGACAGACATTTAAATAAGTAGAGCACATGGTATCCAGTCAGATGTTATTTATTTTATTTACAAAATGTATATCCTGCCATTCTGCCCTCACAAACGCTACCAGGTAGATAACATCTTAAAATATGCAAACCACATTTTGCAAGCATTTAAACCCCCCCCCCCCCCCCCCCAAAAAAAACATACATGTTTAAACCTAAAATATCTACAAAGATGTTAAAACATTGGTCAGGAAGGAGGGATCATGGAGGGAATGCCAAATGAAACAAAGAAGTCTTCAGTTGCTGGCACAAGGAAGCAACAAAAGTGGACAGACTAATCTCCCTGAGGAGAGAGTTCCAGAGTTTTGTTGCCATGATCAAGACGGCCACCCACCCACCTAATCTCAGAAAGCGGAGGCCCCCCGTGGAGGGCCTCTGAAGATTACCATAGCAGTGGGGTGGATTTATAAGGGCATAGTGGTCCTTCAGGTACGTTGGTCCCAAACTATATAGGGCTTTGAAGGTCAAGACCAACACCTTGAATTGTGCCTGAAAGCCAATTGAGAGCCATTGTAGATGGGCCAAGACTGGAAGGATATGGTACCGACATCCCACTCCAGTCAACATCCTGGCTGCAGCATTCTGTACCAATTGAAATGTCCAAGTGCCCTTGAGTAGCAGCCCCCACATAGAATGAATTGCAGTAATCTAATCTAGATGTAACTAGGACATGCACCACAGTGGCCAGATCATGTTGCCAACCTCCAGGTGGTACCCAGAGATCTCCTGCTATTACAGACGCCCAAAGTTCCCCTGGAGAAAATGGCTGCTTTGGAGTATAGATTCTATGGCATTATACCCTGCAAAGGTCCCTCCCCTCCCCAAACCCCACCTGCCCCAGGATCCATCACAGAGCTGGTAACCCTACAACCAGATCTTTTCTGCCCAGGGAAGGCTGCAGCTATTTATTCAGTTGAAATTGGTATAAGGCACTCTTGGACACAGCTGCCATTTGCTTATTCAGCAGCAGCAATCACTATATCTAATAGCCAAGTGGCCCCCTCCGTGCGGATCGCTATATCCGCACTTCGGGGGCACTTGGGGGGCCGGGGGAGGTTTGCGCACACGTGGGGCAGTCCCCACGTGTGCACAAAAATAAAAAAAGTTTAAAAAAATTTCGGGGGGATGTTTAAATCCCCCCGAAAGCGCAACAGCGTCTCCTGCGCGTGTGCAGGAGATGCTCTGCGCCGCTGCCGCCTC